CACAGACATAATAACACACACACAGACATAATAACACACACACAGACATAATAACACACACACAGACATAATAACACACACACGCACAGCTTGCCACAACCGCGCATTCTTAATTACACCCGACCATTAATTAATCACGATCTTCGCGATTAGCCAATTCATCAGCACAATTAATTCATTATTAAATCAATTTATCATTTTCGCCACCAGTGCGCCCCGCGCCTCGCGACGCCAACAACAATGCGTGGGGGGCGGGGCGTGGGGCTTTGGGGGCGGGGCGTGGGAGGGGGCGGGGCATCGTGACCCGGGGCCCCCTGTTCCACCCTTTCGGTCGTCGCTGCCGTTCGCAAAGCCACCGGGCGAGCCGTCTCGCGTTTGTGGGCCAGAGAGAGAGAGAGAGATGGGATAGAGAGAGAGAGAGAGAAGCGACTGCTATTTTAACTAAACACATGTTTGTTGTTTCATTTTTTTTTGGCAGGTAAGGGGGCACCCCACTGAGATATTACTGTGGGGGCTTATTTTTTCAGCAGCGACGACCTGGCCACAAACGGATGGCTCAACGATGGGCCTTATCCACGTGGGAAATGTGTAGCGGTCAAACGCTGTGCACCAGGGGCTCGGCAACCAAAACAACAACAACAACAAGAACAAGAAGAAGAGACACGTTTAGAATTCGGTTAAAAACGAACAGAAAAATTCCAAGACCCGCAACGCCACGTGGTGAATACGAGACTGTGGTCCTCAATAATAAAAGAGAGAGAGAGAGACAGAGAGACAGAGAGACACCGCAAACTCCAGATATACAGCAGGCGCCATAAAGGGGTCGGGATCGAACCCACGGCTTACCTGGATACCGGGCGAGGTAGTTAACATCTCCTAGCCACCGCGGTGCCCTCTATCTTTCACCTTCATTGCAGGACCTGGCAATAAAGGTGAACACAACACGGCAGCGGCCGGTACCAGATCCTCGCACAGACCAATTCCTCTTCGGCCCGGCACACGGTATGCCAATTTCACCAACTGCCCGGGTTCAAGCCCAACATCGGTGGAAACCCAAATATCAAATTGTTTTCTGTAAGAGAGGGACCTGACAGGTGAAATAAATGTGCCATTTACAACAACAACCACCTCCGACAAGTACGATTCGTTACCTACGCTGCGATAGAAGCTCAACATACATAAAAAACAACAACAACTACGGGACCTGGCAGAAGGGATGAAGAGATGGCTATTAATGGTATGATTCAACACGATGCTGGATGCTGCCACATATTGAAAAATAACCCGAATAGCCTGGTGGGCTTTACCTGGTAACATAAAAATACAGTAACATTGTTTTGTTTTATTTATATGTATTTAAGTGATTTATTTACATATTCTTAGCTCTTTCGGTAAAGTCAAGTTGAAGGGAAACAATGAAATATATATAAAAAGCAATATATATTTTATTATTTTATTGTTTCCCTTCAACGTGACTTTACCGTAAGAGCTAAGAATATGAATTACTGCAGTCACGAAAGCTTTAAATAATTTATTTATTTATTTACCTTTCCTATACTTTGCACTCCTCTGGTGTTTGTTGTTGTTGTTGTAACCTTCTGACCCCGTGCCCCTACTGGACATCTGTGATAAAGAGCTTTTTATCTCATCGGATTCCTCCTCCACTACAAACATTCTGACTCACGCTCGGAAGGTCAACCTCAGCCCATCGTCATCATCTCCCAGGGGTGGATAAAACAGGTACCACTTTGTGGAAAGACAACAGCGTTTGTCCCATGGATATACTCGCCCCCCCCCCCCCTGCCGCAGGAATGAGGAATTTCCATCACTGGCTCAAGGCTCTAGACAGGTGATCGACACCGATGCCTCACTGCTCGTCCGAGCGGGGGGGGATCGCCAGGTGACGATTCAACGGAGGCGGCGGTCCGAGTTCGTTCCCAAGCCGTGGCTAACGTCAGTGGGCCTCCTCTAGGTCGACTCGGACTTAACAGGACATTTGTTGTGGTGCCCAAACATCGGCAGTGGACAGAGAGAGGGGGGCCAGGTTCGAAGGGAGGCCGTAGGGCGAGAGAGAAGAGTCGCAGTCATCGAGCGGTTTCTCATTGGGCCCTACCGATGCTGCACGTGAACACATCCAGGGGATTCGTTCATTTGCTCGGAAACAAAGAAAATCATTCTTCCCATCGTTCAATCACTCGGCCGAGGCCCTCCACTTGCGCCGTCAAGACACGCGGAGCCGCGGAGGTGTTTCTGAAGTTGCGCCAAATCAATAGCATCAGCGATAAAATAAGCAATTTATGAACATGCGGTGAAAATCGGAATTTTTTTTTAATCAGAGCTTGTTATCTGCATGCCGAGCAGAAATCCACAGATTTCTAGGGAGTTGTGGGGCTGGGAGTGGTGGGGGAACTATGCACACGCGCGCACACGGAGTTATGCGCCAAAATAAATCGTGCATCTCTCTTAAAAGTATTTACTTTCAACGATTAATCTGCAGCTGTCACTCACCAAGATGAATTATAGATGAAGAAACTACGCAAGTAATTTGATAATTTTGAATATTAAATGAATGAATGTAAGTAGGCGTGTGTGTGTGTGTGCACGTGTGTGTGTGTGCGCGTGTGTAGGGGAGCGGCAGTGTGGTGGTTAGCGCGCTGTGCTACGAACCCAGGGACCCAAAGTTCGATTCCTGCTCACGGTCAACAACAGTTATGAACTGAGTTTCCCCTAGGTCGACTCCTCCTCAAATCAATACCTGATGCGATGTGTAAACATCGCCACTAGGGAGACAAAGGCAGCCTCACGTGGTACTGACCACCCACCCCCTCGCGTGCCATGCTGGTCTTCATAGGTGCTCGCTAACAGCACTTGCCCCAACAGTCTGCTTAGGCTATACGGGGGATCTGTTGCCTTTGTACGAGTGCCAGTCATCTCAGTCGGTCAACCCATGGCACCTGGGTCCATCCTGTGATGTCCTCCTGCACGTAGCCTGGTACAGCAGTCAACGCGTGGCACCGGGACCGGTTCAGATAATGGTCACTGGTGTTGGTCACCAGCACACGTATTCATACATACATACAAACACACGCGCGCGAATATACAGAGGAATGTACGCCGGCACACAGACACGCACTAACACACAGACCCGCACCCACGCAGATATGCATACATACGCATACACACAGACCCACACATACACGCGAAGACACAGACACGCACGCACGCACACACACACATGCATGCAGATATGCATACATACGCATACACGCAGACCCACACATATACACACGGACACACAGACATGCGCGCGAGCGCACACACGCACGCACGCACTCCGGTTCACATTGTGCCGTGAACAGGTTTAATAAAGGCGATTTTAATATCCAAGTGATGTGCGAACACAGCGCGCATACAGATCTCCCGGAGAAATCATTTATACATGACGGGAAGAAGCCTAGGTGGTCTCAAAGGCGCGCGGATACACATATATGCACAGAACAAAGACAAAGATCCCGCGTGTTGACATTAACAGAGCGTTGGGACAAGTGCTGTTAGCGAGCACCTATGGAGGGCGGCCACGGCACACGAGGGGGGTGGGTGGCCAGCGCCACGCCCGACCGCCTTTGTCTCCCTCGTGGCGACGTTTACACGTCGCACCAGCTACTCATTTGAAGGGGAGCCGACCCACGGGAGGCCTTGGACCGGTTCAAATATTCCCCACTGTTATTGGCCATGTGCGGGAATTGAAGACAGTTCATAGTGCAGTGCGCTAACCACGACCACTCCCTACATGGGCCCACAAAGACAAATATCCCCCGTATAGCCTTTAACAGAGTTGGGGCAAGTGCTGCGCGCGAGCACCTATTAAGGCTGTCACGGCAGACGATATGGGGGGCAGGGGGTGGGGCAACACCACGCCCAGCCACCTCTGCCTCCAAAGTGGCGGTGTTTACACATCACACCAGGTGCTCATTTGAGGCCGAGTCGACCTAGGGGAGGCCCACAACCGGTTCGGGCACACACCAACACGCAAAGATCCCCGTACAGCCTGAACAGACTGTTGGGGCAAGTGCTGTTCGCGAGCACCCTATGAAGGCCGGCACAGCACACGAGGTGGGTGGCCAAAAACCCACGCCCGGCCGCCTTTGTCTCCCTAGTGGCAATGTTTAACGCACCGCACCAGGTACTCATTTTAGGCTGAGTCGACCTAAGGGAGGCCCTGTACCGGTTCAGATAATCGTCACTGTGGTGTTGGCCGTGAGCGGGAATGGAACCCGGGTCGCCGGGTTCATTGTGCAGCGTAGCGCTAACCACTACACTACCGCTCCCACAAACACACGTACACACGTACACACACACACACGTACACAACAAAGAACAAAGATCCCCCATATAGCCTTAACAGACTGTAGGGGCAAGTGCTGTTAGCGAGCAGCACCTATGAAGGCCGGAACGGTACACGAGCGGGTGGGTGGCCAGCATCCACGCCCGACCGCCTTTGTCTCCCTAGTGGCGATGTTTACTACACACCGCACCAGGTGTGAGTCGACAGACACTCGCACGCACGAACCCCAAACAACAAGAAATGGGAAATAATGAAGGAATGTTAATCCTGTCATGAAATGTTACTCGAATCCTGTGCCCACACCCCGCCACGTCAGAATCCTATGCCCTCGGGTTCGGATTTATTCTCAAAAGGATTTTTATTGTTTGTTGTTGGCCCGGGATGCGGCGAGCGCGCACTCCCGAAAACACCAAGCTCGGACACGTGCGGAGGAGGGTGGCGGAGCAGGTTTGGGGTCCGTCCTCCTGCCCCTTCCACGAACCGCGCTGCACTCGCGATCCTCGCAGGAGCGACGGGCAGCTCGAGTTTGCCTCGGCGCCCCTGGGGTCTATTGCATTCGAAGCATCAGCAGCAGCATCAGCAGCAGCAGCATCAGCAGCAGCATCATCATCATCAGCCACGATAAATTCCACTGCAATTGACAATCCGCACAAACCTTGGCCGGAGCGGACGCGGACACCTGATGGCGACGATGAGAATGACGATGCACGGATGGAAAGTAAAAACTGAGACGCGCAGTGTCCGGAGGCTTTGGGCACCGCTCAGGACAGAACTGCGGAAGAAAAACAGCGACTCAATGTTCGAGTCACACACGCGGAGGGGGAGGAGGCAGCGTCGCCACAGCGATGGTTCACCACCACTCCGCTGCCCGCGACGCAATCGTCCGGCTCAAACGACCTCAATGCAAAGCTAAAGTTGTTGCCCTACATCGAGCGTCAGCAACGCCCCCCAGACGACAGGGATTCCTCCGATTGGACGGCGTTCAAGCGTCGAGTTTCATTTGATTTGTGAACACGCGGGCGATGGTCCCCCGTTTCAGCCAGCTGACCCGGCTGTTTTACACGGGAGATCCGTGGTGCTGCGCGATCCACGACAAACAACAAAAGCAGAAAGACAAAAAAAACAAGCGCAGGGTTTCGATTTGAAGCTTTCGCGACTGCAAGGATCCATCATCTCCTTTGGTTCTTTCGGTAAAGTCACCACCGCGTAGAATGAGAATAAAATAATAAATCAATAAAATAACGCGATAAAATTCTCACGACGTTTCGGCCACAACACTAGTGGCCTTCTTCAGAAGCTCTGTCGTCCCGACAGGTCTGTTCCTTTCACCTGAAGAAGGCCACTTGTGTTGTGGCCGAAACGTCGTGAGAATTTTATCGTGTTATTTTATTATTTTATTATTTTATTCTCATTCTACGTGGTGGTGACTTTACCGAAAGAACCAAAGAAGAAAAAAAGGCAGGGTCCCAAGCAATCCATCTCAGAAGTACTTCAGTGATGCCCACTTCTGCAGACAGTTCTGTAACAGGCAGGGTAGGTGGGGGAGGGGGGGGGTAAGGGGGTAGGCTGGGGGCGGGGCTTGTTGAGCTGCTCTGCGAGTCATCCGATTGGCTCCTTCGCCTCGTGACGTCGGCCTCCCACGATGGGGATACAATTGGGCGAAACGAAAAAAAAGATAAACATATATATAAAAAGGAGACCACAAGAAAACATGCTCGGCTTCTCGATCAATGCGAATCAATGCGCGCTCCCCCCCCCCACCCCCCCCCCCGACACTTTCCCGTTGAGTCCAACCCAAAGGCCGTGCGCATCGCGACATCTCGTCAGGGTTATGATTGGGCCATCATCCGGCACGGAGGCGCATCGCGACAAACGATACGGGGCCACCTCCTCCCTCCCCCCCCCGCCGCACAACGCCGCCTCGGGGAAATTGTCGTCAGGAACTTCTCGGTGCGAATCCGACAGGCAGGCCGCGCGCCCGGCTAATGCTGCGGTGCGCATTCAGCCGCAAGAATACGCGGCGTTTCCGGCCGCCACGCATGCACGTGCGTCCAACTTCTGTCGCGCCGTGCGCAGCCAACCCGTGCGGATCGGAGCCACGATCGGACCGGTGTCGTTCGGAGCAAAAGCTAGGCCCGGGGGCCGACGCCGTGCGCCAGCGTCACGGTCAAAGTTTATTTCAAAACTTTATGAAAGTGACGACGTCACGGAATGACCTCATGGGTAAGCACGTGGGATTCGTCGGTGCCGCGACTGCGAAAACTGAGCATGAGCCTCCTGAGCAATGAGTCGTGGGACTGAGTGAGGCTTTCTCCTGAGCAAAACAATGAGCAATCTTGGCGTAGACCACTTGAAAAACCCTGAACCGACTTTGCACCCAAGTCCGCAGGTCAAGGTCCAACCTGGCCACATGGCGGTAGCGTACGCCACACAATTGGAGAGCTGCTGCTGCTGCTGCTCTACCACGACTGCGGTGAGAGTCAGGCCATGATACACCGCTTGGTCTGCCCCATGTACTCACCCACTCGCTCGCCTCCTCAGTCACCCACTCACCGACTCACACACTAACTCAACCACCTACTCACTCACCCACCCACTCACTCACCGACTCACACACTAACTCAACCACCTACTCACTCACCCACCCACTCACTCACCGACTCACTCACCGACTCACACACTAACTCAACCACCTCCTCACTCACCCACTCATTCACTCACTCACCGACTCACACACTAACTCAACCACCTACTCACTCACCCACCCACTCACTCACCGACTCACACACTAACTCAACCACCTACTCACTCACCCACCCACCCACCCGCTCACTCACCCGCTCACTCACCGACTCCCTCGCCCATTCATTGACCGACTCACGCACCCACTCACTCAGACACTGACTCACCCACCCACCCACTCAAGCGTAGAGAGGTGCGCCTGCTGTGGCTATGAGGGGCAGGCCGTTGCGACTCATCTGGCCTTCTGCCCCACCGCTGGAGGAAGGCCCCTGCACTGCGCGAGGCCCCTCGCAGCGAGCGTTGCTGAGACGCGCCCGCCGCTGGAAGGACGTTTGACTTTGATGGACCGACACGACCAGAAGAAGAATGATAGGAATAATAACGTGACGTCACCACAGGACCCAATGCAACAGCTGCACTCGACTTGAGCTGGGGCGCCGCGGTGGCTAGGAGATGTTAACGACCTCGCCCGGTTCACAGGACGTCGTGGGTTCGATCCCGACCCTGGATGCGTGACGTATATTTGGACATTTGCCTGGATTTTTCTCCGGGTCCACCGTTTTTCCCCCCCCCTCTCCACGTTTCGAATGAGACGTGCGTTCAGAGTGCCCGGCTGCTTTAAATTCGTGGTCGGGTCACTGCTGAACAAGCGGTGAGCATTACTTGGTCAAGTAAAGAAAAAACTGTTCATTTGAAATAGCAGACTCTCTCTCGCTCTCTATCTATCACCCAACGTGAGACGCTGCTGCTCCATAACACTTTGTCAATGAGCAGGTCGCCATACATCGGTTCTCCGATAGTTTGTAAAAGTTAGCGACGACCAGCCGTAGCAAAGGCTGAGAAGTTCACGATAATAGCTTCGAGCGTGGTCTGCGGGGTTGATGATAATGATGTCACACGGGGGGTATAACGAATGAGAATGAAGCCGTTTCTGGTCACGGGGGATAATGAATGAAAGCAGGAAGCCGGTTCTAGCCACAGGGGGGATAATGAATAAAATAATGAATCTGGTTCCAGTCATGGGGAGATAATGAATGAAAGCAGAAATCTGGTTCCAGTCATGGGGAGATAATGAATGAAAGCAGAAATCTGGTTCCAGTCATGGGGAGATAATGAATGAAAGCAGGAATCTGGTTCCAGTCATGGGGAGATAATGAATGAAAGAATGCATCTGGCTCCAGTCATGGGGAGCTAATGAATGAAAGAATGAATCTGGTTCCAGTCATGGGGAGATGAATGAAATAATTAATCTGGTTCCAGTCATAGGGAGATAATGAATGAAAGCAGGAATCTTGTTCCAGTCATGGGGAGATAATGAATGAAAGCAGGAATCTTGTTCCAGTCATGGGGAGATAATGAATGAAAGAACGAATCTGGTTCCAGTCATGGGGAGATAATGAATGAAAGAATGAATCTTGTTCCAGTCATGGGGAGATAATTAATGAAAGCAGGAATCTGGTTCCAGTCATGGGGAGATAATGAATGAAATAATGAATCTGGTTCCAGTCATGGGGAGATAATGAATGAAAGCAGGAATCTGGTTCCAGTCATGGGGAGATGAATGAATGAAATAATTAATCTTGTTCCAGTCATGGGGAGATAATGAATGAAAGCAGGAATCTGGTTCCAGTCATGGGGAGATAATGAATGAAAGCATGAATCTTGTTCCAGTCATGGGGAGATAATGAATGAAAGCAGGAATCTTGTTCCAGTCATGGGGAGATAATGAATGAAAGCAGGAATCTTGTTCCAGTCATGGGGAGATAATGAATGAAAGAATGAATCTTGTTCCAGTCATGGGGAGATGAATGAATGAAAGCATGAATCTTGTTCCAGTCATGGGGAGATAATGAATGAAAGCATGAATCTTGTTCCAGTCATGGGAAGATAATGAATGAAAGCTAGAATCTTGTTCCAGTCATGGGGAGATAATGAATGAAAGCAGGAATCTTGTTCCAGTCATGGGGAGATAATAAATGAAAGAATGAATCTTGTTCCAGTCATGGGGAGAAAATGAATGAAAGAACGAATCTGGTTCCAGTCATGGGGAGATAATGAATGAAAGAATGAATCTTGTTCCAGTCATGGGGAGATGAATGAATGAAAGCAGGAATCTTGTTCCAGTCATGGGGAGATAATGAATGAAAGCATGAATCTTGTTCCAGTCATGGGGAGATAATGAATGAAAGCATGAATCTGGTTCCAGTCATGGGGAGATGAATGAATGAAAGCATGAATCTTGTTCCAGTCATGGGGAAATAATGAATGAAAGAATGAATCTTGTTCCAGTCATGGGGAGATAATGAATGAAAGCATGAATCTTGTTCCAGTCATGGGGAGATAATGAATGAAAGAATGAATCTTGTTCCAGTCATGGGAGATAATGAATGAAAGCAGGAATCTTGTTCCAGTCATGGGGAGATAATGAATGAAAGCAGGAATCTTGTTCCAGTCATGGGGAGATAATGAATGAAAGCAGGAATCTTGTTCCAGTCATGGGGAGATGAATGAATGAAAGCATGAATCTTGTTCCAGTCATGGGGAGATAATGAATGAAAGCAGGAATCTTGTTCCAGTCATGGGGAGATAATGAATGAAAGCAGGAATCTTGTTCCAGTCATGGGGAGATAATGAATGAAAGAATGAATCTTGTTCCAGTCATGGGGAGATGAATGAATGAAAGCATGAATCTTGTTCCAGCCATGGGGAGATAATGAATGAAAGAATGAATCTTGTTCCAGTCATGGGGAGATGATTGAATGAAAGCATGAATCTTGTTCCAGTCATGCGGAGATAATGAATGAAAGCAGGAATCTTGTTCCAGTCATGGGGAGATGAATGAATGAAAGAATGAATCTTGTTCCAGTCATGGGGAGATAATGAATGAAAGCAGGAATCTGGTTCCAGTCATGGGGAGATGAATGAATGAAAGCATGAATCTTGTTCCAGTCATGGGGAGATAATGAATGAAAGCAGGAATCTTGTTCCAGTCATGGGGAGATAATGAATGAAAGCAGGAATGTTGTTCCA